GAAAGAAGGAGACTGAAGACAATAATAGTTAGTCTTTAGATAATATAGTCTCCTTTTGGGAACCATTCCTAATAACTCATTTTCTGAAAAGAAACGCTTAATTAATAACAAAAATGTTCAAATGAAATAAGTGCTCCCTTATTACAGAATCATATTATTTTCCTTTACTTAAACATGACTGACGAACGTTGATGAGATACATTATATATTGGACGTATTTACTAAATATGCTGACAATGAAACATGCACAACAGATCTTGGGCACATGGGAACAGCCAAACAATTTAATTAGGTCTCTTGTATTGTTTTAGTTTTTCTATAAATAACGAACGCTTTTCTGTTCAGCTGTTCAATCTATCCAGGTTGTTACTAAAACCTAGAAAAACAGAAACAAAACTGAAATGAAAATCATAGCGTACGGTATAAACATTCTGTAGTGTGACAAGCTATTTTTGGAACAGCCTACAATATTCGATTGTTTTAATAACAGATGCTGCCAAATTTGTCTCAACTGCATCTTAGTTCCAGTTATAAAACCCAAAAATATCATTTGTCATATGATGAGTAGTGCTTATTTACAAAGTTCCCAGCAGAATATTATGACTTTTAAGTAGGGGTTATAGTTCGATATTCCGAAGAGCCATAGTTCCGAAAAAACAATGTTCCGAAGGGCCAATATTTCGAAAATTAAATGTAAAAGCAACTTGACATGTAGGCCTAATGTTCATTCAGGTTATTATATTACATAAACAGTAGTACATGTATAACTTCCCCGAATACGGCCTAACCACCTGGCCATGCCAGGCTTAGATAAAAGCAATCAGTATCATACAATTTCTAACAGAGATGCAAGTAGTCAGCAAAATTAAACTTCACATTAGAGCTACAAGTGACCAACATAACTATTGCTCATATAAGAAAAATAATCATGTTTTAAATGTTAAACTTACGAGCAACCATCATAACTAAACCTTATTAGAGCTACAAGTAATCATCAAAACTACCATGGTTTATATATTATCGATAGGAATAATCAATACATAATACTGCTTTATATTTGACATACACAAGTAATTATCCAGTACAATATTCGTATTAGAGATATAAAAAATAACCTATAATTTACAGGTGTAAGTAAAAATTAAGACTACGACTTTTGTATAAAACCTGGAAGCAGACAGCTAGACTTAATATATTACATGTACATGTAACCTGTAGAACTATATATATTATAGCTACAGTTAAAAATTATAATTGTGGTTTTCAAGTAAACAATAGAAATACGATTTGTAAAATAGTTGTGTAGTTCTATTAAAACAATTGTGGAGCCTCACCAAGTAGTTACAGTCCAAGTCCTTACGTTCAGTCATGCTCTATCTGATTATCGTGTATCTTGACAATAGCTCTGCTGCGTAATTTACATTGCAAAAGGCTCTGTAATAAGGCTACCCTGTTCAAAGCACACAACTCCTTTCTGCATAACTTCCATAATCCAATTAGTGATCGAGAAATACGGTTACCCATTGTCCTTGTCAGCAGTCCAATCGCACAGAAGTTCCTAAGCGCTGTGTCGACTGTCTTTACCAGTTTGCCTTCGTATAGAATAGCACGAATACCGGTTTCATTCTTCAGCTGTTAGAGGTATGCGACGATTAAACGTGAGGTATAAATGGAAGCCTTATTCCTGGTGAACCCATACCCTGTTGTTCTCCTTTCTAGACGGAGATCCTTTTTGATTATGTTGTATATTGTTATCTGGGACACGTGAACGGCTTTCGCCATGTCCTTTGTGTTCGTGCATTCTCACCTGTTACAAAACGCCGCACTTTACTTACCATAGCTGGGGTGTCACTTGTTGCAAATCTTTTTATACCGATGGTTCTTGGCTCTCTAGTTGACCCATATTCATTTGTTTTCTAATAGCGTTAAGTACAAGGAATATCTTCGTCTTGGATGCTCTAAGTTCCTTATTTGAATACGTCTTTATGATCCGATAAGGGCTATTATATACCCTTACTAAAAGTGATCAACTTTCAATGGTATCGCACTACATAAAACGTCAAACAAAGTGAAAATGTAGTTCTGATACAAACGACACAAATGATACCTTTTTAATTGGTACTAAAACAACCAAACAAATATCCCCTTATATATATGTGTGTGTGTGTATACATTATAAATAGCAACATAACTGTATTTATCATATTAGAGTTACAAGTGAATAGCGTAAATATACCTTACATATTATAGTTACAGGTCACCAAAACTCTGCTATATTTCATATCAGAACAATTAATAACAAGTAGAAGCGAGTTTTGTTTAGTGAAATTATAAAAAGAAAAACTTACAGAAGTGACTGACATATTAAACCTTGATGTGGCCATCAGAACTATGCCTTTCGTATTCTAGCTATAACTAACCAACAAATCTATGATATGCCTATTACAGCTATATCTAAAAACGAAGCATTTTTCTTATATTGGCTTTTCCGGTAAAAAACACAACTTTGATTTATATATTAAAATTTCAATTGACAACAGATCCATAGCTTTCATATTAGATCTAGAAGCAACCAACAGAACTATGACTTATCAAATTATATTAATAATAATAAATAAATAAAAATAATCGGTGTTAAAAATAAAATAAAATATATATAAATAATATTGTTTTATCAATCCTTATCCTAAAATCTAATCTATAAGTGACTTAACTAAAATTGATAATAATTACAATTCACTTACTTAACCTAGTTCATACCTTAACAGTTGTTGTTTATGAAAACTAATGATATAAATAGTGTCTAAACTAGTACTATGTCTGTTACATCCGAGCCTCACGTGGTTGCCCCTCCCCCTCACTAAACCACACACACACTTTTCCAATTATTTCGGCGCCCATGAGTTTAAGTAATTTTATTTCATGGTCTCCTGATTAATCTACAGTACTTATCAATTTTAGTGGAGTCAAAATAGAAATTTGTAACATGATAAAACAATGTATACACTATTCCCAGCCTATTTTTTTAAAGTTCCTAGTTCTAGGCTTGAAAATATAATCTTTGCATTTTGATTCAATTTGTTTCTGTACTTTTTTGTACAGAATTCCCCTTTTTAAAATAACGATTTTTAATTAGTTTGCTTTTTTAGATAGGTAACCCTTGTGATGGGTTTACTATCCTATATCTATTTTAATATCGATGTTTGTTTAAGTTAAATCTATATTTAGAAATGTACATACCTTATGATGTTAAATCTGTTTTGCGAAATTCCCTCCTATTCATTAAAATTGTAAAAAATTCTCGAGTGTAAGAATCAACAATATATGTGTGTACGTAAACATTGGTGTATCGTTTATATTGTTGCGTAAGCTGAACTTCCGAGAAACTCTCCTCATGCTTATAAGTATAACCAAAGCGACGCGCCAAAAGACAGTATATATTATTGGTTTGCTATAGTTGGTGTGCTATAAACCTCGGAAGCTATAACTGTGATTGTTATAACGTTTAATAATCGGGAACTCCAGATATTTAACCAGGAACGTTTATATATTTCGAATATTACAAACCATTTAACTTCAGCGGATTCAAATCGGACATTAGTATTTTTATGAAAACATTATATAACTTCAGTGGTGAATAACTCGGTGTGTGAACTGGCGAAGAACGAAGAGCACAGAGCTAGCTAGCTCCCTCAAAATTAATTCGCTCATCGTGAACCCTCGATAAGATATCCAGGAAGTTCCAAACCAGATAGAGAACTAAATATTGTTTGTAAGTTTGTAGAACGTTTTTACATAGATCATTATTTGTAATAGCTGTTATTGTAAAGTGTGTTATTGTTTGTATATCAAAATATGTTTGTATTAAGAAACTGTCAATCTTGTTGGCAAGTGTCATAAATAAAATACATATCGACATTTATTTAATTTCTAAATCTAAATTATCATTTAACTCAGTTTTAGGCTATTCGAAATTATAATACGTTACGTAATAATTTGGAAACTCGTCCGGGATAAATTGTAATACGTAACATGCTGTTTTCGTACCTTATTCGAAAGTTGTTGATGTTGTGTTGTGGTACAACAAAGTTAGAATATATGATTAATTAATAGTGATTTGTTCCCAACACCAAGGCATCTTCAAATATAATTATGCAGAGATATTATGAATATTTAGCGTTAAGTAGCGCCGTATCGCCTTGCTGTGAAATGTGAGATACCAAATGCAGAGATATTATGAATGTTTAGCGTTAAGTTGCGCCGTATCGCCTTGCTGTGAAATGTGAGATACCAAATGCAGAGATATTATGAATGTTTAGCGTTAAGTAGCGCCGTATCGCCTTGCTGTGAAATGTGTGATACCAAAAGTCGTCCCCCGGTGGGACAGCAGTAAGTCTTCGGATTTACAACGCTAAAATCAAGGATTCGATTCCCTCAGTGGTTACAGCAAATAGCACGTTGCGGCTTTATTATAATAAAAACAAACAAACACTTTGGCAAATTATCAAAAACTTGCCCCCCCCCCCAATGGCACAGCGGTAAGTCTGCGGACTTACAACGCTAGAAACTGGGTTTCGATACCCATGGTGGGCAGAGCACAGATAGCCCTTTGTACTTAACTTCAAACAAACAAATAAACTAAAAGTCACCCTTCTGAATGTTCAAAGAGATTAGAAGTTCCTCTTCATATGTGGAATTTTATGTAACGTCATTTACTCGTGTGACTGCAGTTTATCTGTCATATTACCCATAACTAAACAATACACGCGGGATTTTACTACTCCGTTACTACAGTGGAAACGCTTGAGGCCACGTGCGTGGATTGGCCTCCGCCCAGCCAGGTGCCGACAGAATGTCTAGTAAACAGCTATATAAAGGTAGGCAAAGCCGGCGGGAGTCACTTAGGTTTAGCTACCTACAGTTTACGCCTTCTACAAGTACTTTTCTATTGGAGTGCGTTAAAATACATCTTTTGTGGCCTTCTACAGGATAGAGTAACAATGGACACTGACCTACTAGCAGTCTTGGCGAACTCCTTCTCTTGCAATTCGTCCCTGCCAAGTATATCTTATGATAATGATCTTCCCGTAGTGTACAACTCATCTAGTGACCACGTCTCTCAGTCTGAACACCAACTGTTAGAGCTGTCTTCCACGTCGACACTACCGTACCAAGCTTTGCTTCAGGACCACGAGCCAGATTCTGACCGTCACACGTGGAAAGGTGCATCGGAAGACAGCCCGCTTGCTTCTCTCAGCTTCAGTCGCTCTTGTGAAACGTTCCAGGTCGACTCTCCTGAGAAATTCAGAATAGACTCGTCTACAAGTGAGAAAGACGCATGGCAAAATCGTAAATCTAGACGGCAACGTTTAGAAACATCCACCACCACCCCGACAGTAATAAAGAGGAGACGCTTGGCGGCCAACGCTCGAGAGAGGCGACGGATGCACAGCCTCAACGAAGCCTTCGACCGTCTTCGGAATGTAGTGCCTTCGATTGGTGAGGATCGGAAACTGTCTAAGTACGAAACACTGCAGATGGCTCAGAGTTATATTACGGCATTATGTGAACTTCTGGAGAGGGATTAGAATCTTCTTTTCTAACTAATTTTACAAACTTTCTACAAAAACGATGAATTGTGGTAATTAATTCGTATACTTTAATCACAGTAATAGTATTTCTCGAAATAATAATGACATTAAATTCCGAAGATACTAATATAAAATCTTATTTTGAAAACTAAGTTTATTGTGACAGGTTTAATCAATCTCTTTAAATTTCATATTACTGTGAAACCTAATTCTAATTTCTTAAAATTTGTTTTAATGAAAGTTGTTTTCTTACACAACTATGCTTAAATTCATTGAAAAGGTATACAAAGTTTCCTAAAAATTACGACTGTTAACCTGATGTAGTGGGTATGTATATATAGTGTTACCATTCCAATACCATTTCCGCTGGTAAATTCCTTGACCTTCCACGTTTGATGCTTTGGTTACACTTATATAAAACTGTGGGCTTTTTGTTGGTATGTTTCAAGATATAAAATCTGGCAGTGTCTGTTTGAAAATAGGATATCCGTTCTAAGATAAATCCAGATACCAGATATGTGCAAGTTATCAATATCCTAGTCATATTTTTCTAAACATTTTGTATCGATTTGTTATTAACACTGACTGCAGTTGGCTACCCGAGGCCACGCACGTTTTAATATAGTTAATCATGTTAAGTTCTTCCTAAAGTACCATATATCACTTTGTTTTTTTTGGTAATTAAGCACACTATGGGCTATCTGTGCTCTGTCCACCACTAGTATCGAAACCCGGTTTCTAGCGTTGTAAGTCCGCAGACATACCGCTATGTCACTGAAGATCAGACTTACAAACTTGTTTTCCGTAAGCACTGTTATTAATTATGTTACACAAGGTTTATCTCTTGTAACGTATTGCGTTCAAACTGAAAGCAAAGGTTGGTTCATTGTGTGTCTCAATTTAAATTACAATATTTTGAAATATCAAATTTGTACGGTGTTTGTTAATGGATTTACGTACCAACAGTGTAAATACAAGTTGTAAATAAATATTGCACTTTGTACAAAATATTATAGAAAATGTTAAACAAACATTTAGGAAACAAATAAACATTGATATTTGAAAAATGACATGCCTTTAATAATGAATTGCGATGTTTTATATTTGTTAAAAATAAATTTCTATTTACAAAGGACTGAAAATATACAACAAACTTGTAAATATAAATACAAGTAAACTTGTATGGGCTATAGTTGTACCTTGTGCTTATATGTTTGTGGATTTTAATAAGTGTGTGTGGGGGGGACAGTAATAACTAAAGGCATTTCAGCAACTTTCAGAACTCTTTCTTTAGCGGAATTTTCAAGTTAGTCCTCCAATCAAACAGAATGATACTCACTTTACCAAACAACAATAAAGCCCAGGTGATGCGTGAGGAAGGAGTTAACATAGCCTAGTTATTTGTGAAGAAGGGAACGGGCAACATAGCCAAGGTGATGTGTCAATGAGGAGGTAACCTAGCTAATGCTGGGGGGGGGGCTATAAAACCCAGTAGATCTGTGGAAGATGGGTAATATACCCCAGTTATCTTGTGGAAAGCATGTCACAGTATTAAAGTGCAGATCATGTCTTACCTTTGTAAATGAGAGGAAGGAGTGACACAGCTCAACTATTTTGTGGAAGAGGGGTTAACATAGCCCATGCAGGTATTTTTTGTGGCCAATGTTCTGTTTTATATAAACTCAGAAAATGAAAAATTTGGTAGTATTCTTATAACCTATAAACTATGCGCACATTTTCAAAATTCGATAATGAATTGCGTAGAAATTATGATCACAGATATACCACTTTCGAATTGTTTATTAAAATTAGTAATCAATAGTTCCATCCTTTACACCAGACTTATTAAAAGCTAAAAATACAACAAAAAGATTGAAAAGTTCTCCCCCTTTCTATTTAAATTGCAGAACAACATAGGAACTGGTGAATGGCAAATAAATCCATCAAAGCGTTGGGCACGGTTGTATAACACCTGTATTCTATATCGTGTGATAATGATTTATGTGGATAACATATATCTAAGTTGTTACTTGACAAAAGTTGAATGTGCCCGCTTATAACTGGCGAGCCGCTGGACCTATTTTCACCAAACATAACACGTACATTTAGGTATCACCAGGGGATGATATTAGTGAGGATGTGACGTACGTCTTTCCCGTGCCTTGAACTGGTACGTCAGCTAGTAGATACATCCATACATACACACACCTATGTATATATATAGTGTTTGTTTGCGGGAATGGTGTATTTTTGAATAATAATAATCATGGTTTCATTCCATACGTTAAAGTAATTTACAATCGGTGTAAACAGGTGTTACCTCAGTGTAAAACAAACCACACTTATCAGCAAACAAGTATGCAAAATGAAGAACGCTTACCAGTTTACTAAACTTATCATCTAGTGGTAAACGGATATATTCGTGATTTTCTTCATATTGGTGACAATGTCAATTAACGCGGTTTTCTTTGACTGGTGTTATAGCTGGAAAACATAGTTCGTTTTACGCACTTTATCTTTTCTTTTTGATGCTGGTGACATAGCTGGTAAACTAATTCGTTTCACAAACTAGTTAAGACCTGTTTGTAAAATGGACGACGTTTACCAGAAATGCTACTGCAAAGTTAATATGTTATAAACAAGAAACTGATCAGTAAAATCAGCTGCATCTACCATCTTTACTATCGGTATTAATAAAAGCGGTTTTTAAAACGAGTCAAGTTTACCAGTAACGCTACTGCCTAATGGCATAAAAACATATAAAATATATCAATCAGAACACCAATATTTAAGAATTTTTTTACTTCACCAGTCACTTGACCTCTGAAATACAAGGTTGGGTGCGTTATATTAAAATGATTTTGAATATGCAAATCAACAAATCATGAGACAGCTACAGCCGATATAAAGTCGCGTTGAAACGAAATATAACAGAACTACATTTGAGCATTGGCGTTTCGTAAGTAGTGTATTAAATCACCATTTTTCGGTTCAGAATGGTGTGTGATGGCGCTTTCTGACGGTAAATACTTTACATTCAGGTCAGAAAACGTGATTTAGATGAAATTGGAAACAAAGAAATGTGGATCAAATTAGGGCACCAGGATCATCCAAAAATAGAGACCTGCAGCAAGTCGTACTCCAGCTGTGGTAAGCAAAAAATTGCAGCGTTTTGTAACATGTGTAGATCCATCAACGGAAAGGTCTGCGGTAAAAGCCGTTCACGTGACCCACACACCATAATCAAGAAAAATCTCTGTCTGGAAACAAGATCAACAGAGTATGGGTTCACCAAGATATTGTTTCCTGCCATACCTCCTGTTCAACCGTAATGTACTTCGAGCATTTGGAGAATGAAACTGGTATTCAGGATATTCAATACGAAGACATAACTGTCGAGCCGCCGAACCTATGGATTTTATCGGAATGCTGAAACGTAAACTGGGAAAAGTACAAGGAGGATTGGTGGGCTTAGGACGTGACAGCATTACAGATGATTTTTTTGCAACGGAAACTATGTTGCAAGACTGTTATCAAGAGGCACGGTCGTCAGATGGAGCATAACCGGACGTAACGCTACGGGTTGTAGCGACGTAACGAAGCTCTAAAATCGTTTCAATATAACGTACACAGTTCTCTGTTTAAGCTTATTAAACGTATTATTTACAAGTCACGCTTACTTGTTTTTTGATTTAACACGTTATTTTAGCTTTGTGTTTGTTGTCAGCGCTATGGTAGTTTTCTAGATTTTGGTTTTAAGGTCCGTAACGCTACGATATAGTTTGCTAAGTTTAGATTTTAAGACCGTAGCGCTACGAAATAAGTTGCTAGGTTAAGGTTTTAAGGTCTATGACGCTATATTACTTCGCTAAAATTGCTAGGTTTAAGTTTAAAGTCTGTAGTGCTGTGATAGTTTGCTAAGTTTAGAATTTATGGTCAATAGCACTACTATATAGTTTGTTTTTAATAATTAAATAGATTTATATTTACTTAAAGTTATGTTTTATGGGTACTATTTTTTGATATTGGAGATTCATAGTACGCCAAGAATTTGCCAATGTTGGATAACAAGCCAGACTTCCATAAAGAAAAACTCCTATGATCGAAACTCGGCTACTATCAAAACAAAACTAATATTTCTCAGGACTTCCCTGAACGTAGGATAAAACTAGTCAGCATTAGGTATTTACAACTTTTTTTTTAATACAAATTAATGATTATGCATAGGTATTCATATAGGTTACTATAACCAACGATTGCATAAGATCCGAACACCACAGTGTTCTACTTGTTAATAAGTTTGTTTGTTCATCTTCACAGTAGCATTGTTCATTCTTTATGATGGCATTATGATGAGTAAGTTTATTGATTGGTCCTGTTGACAATATCATTCCCGAATAGTTGAGAGGCACTTAGTGTACGACGGCCTAGTACGTGTTATTTTCCATGAACCAACTGTCAACTAGTTAATTAAGTTAGTCTGTTGAAATGTAACGCTTAGGCCAGAATTTCACTAAATCAATCTTCAGGTCTTTCAATATGAATTTTAGAGATCGTAAAGCACATTAGGAGGGGGAAGCTCAATCTTACGACTGTATATCTCTGTTCTATGGTATATATTTTGAAGTATATCAGTTGTCTATTTACCTCCAGAATTACTGACAGTCAGAAAAGCTAGAAAAGGGTTTCAGCCAAAAGTTCGACTTCAAAAATAGCTGTAATTCAATGTATTTTAAATACAATCTTCAATAGTCTCGAATATGATATAGTAGCTAGTTCGAATCTGGATCGGCAATATTTTGGAAGCTGAATCATTCTTGTAGAACTCTGTAAAAATTGATAAGCTGACTTCCTGACTAGGAAAAAAACATCAACATATAATCCCTCTAGTAATTTTAGATTGGGGTTCTTAATAACTAATCAAACAATTGAACATTCATGAAAGTGTTTTATACAATAACTTGGAAACTGTTTTGGATGTGATAAAAACAAGACAA